ACACAAAACAACATTTTTATTCCCTTAAGTAATAATTAATGCATCTGTCTTGATTATAGCTTTAGTAAATAAAAATGTATTTTATTTCTAATAGTATTTTTGAAATTTCCACATTTCTTATATCTTAGAATCAAAGCAGACAGTTTTGTTTAAACAATTAGCAGCCATAAATACTACCTTGGAAATATATAAATCATAACACTACATCAAGTAACATAAGCCATCCCCCAAAATTAACAATTGAGTTGTATAGTGGTGAATACATTATTGTGTATCAGTTTGGGGGCTGCAAGAGCTGAAGAAAAACATAATTCATATTTTTTCTCAGCAGCAAATTAACAAGGGGAAGTGAGTGAACTGAAGAAACTAGGCTGACAGAAGCCTTCATACCATGACAGTTGACATTCTTCAAGCACTTACTAGGCAGTGTTTTGCACACATTACATGTTTTCATTTATATCATCCTCAGAAAACCAATCTTACACGATTGGTAGGTTAATCTCATTCTAAAAGGACATCACAGAAAGCCAAACACTGAGTAACTGGACCATAGTCTCCCAGCTGCTAGAGCCAGAATTCAAACTCAGAGTCAGGGCGATTCCAGCGCTGCTTGGTCGCACATACACCTACACAAAAAAAAATCCCCAGATATAAACTCCTGCATGTTACCTATAACTTTTTTTGTGTTATTCTATTTTAGAAACTTTTGTGTGGGGAGAACCAATGAAATGTTTCAGGTGAAATGTACATATTGACTACTATATTTGTCAGGGTTCTCCAGAGAAATAGAACCAATAGGAACTGCATATATAGAGAAAGATTCATTGGTTCATGAGTCTGTGGAGGCTGTCACATCCAAAGTCTTCAGAGTAAGCCAGCACACTGGGGATTCAGGAAAGGGCTGTAGTCTATGCCCAAATGCTTTATTCTAGAAGAATCTCCTCTTCCTCAGGGGAAGTCAATCTTTTTCCTACTAAACCTTTGAACTGATTGAGTGATGCTCACCTACATTATAAAGAATAACCTGTTTACTCAAAGTCTACTAATTTAAATGTTAATTTCATTTTGCAAATACCTTCACATAGGCATCTATAATAGTTTTGACCAGATATCTTAGTTTTGACCAGATATCTGGGTATTGTGGCCTTGCTCAATTGACACATAAAATTAACCATTATACCTATACTATTTATAGGTTTATATATTTATATGGATGGCTGAAAATAAATTAGAAAACTCTTTAGTGAGAAAAAATAGTTAGCTAACTGTAAAGCAATACTACTGAGCACGTTGCTCCTTGTGAGACAGTGTGCTAGATATTGGCACTATGAATAAGGTACCAAGGTTCAATGTTCTCATAATCTGGGTGGAGATAGGTCAGGAGAGAGAGATAGAAATATATATAATCAACTATGCTGCGCTGTGCTGAGTTTTAATGTGGTTGGAGTAGAGTTATGAAAGAAGACAAGAAAAAGCTTAAGGCTCTACTTCATGCCCTTTCCAGGGGCTGAGGAGAATCTCAAAGGGGACATAATGCTTAAGTCCCATTGAAGAGAAGAGGACTCCACCAGGAGGAGAAAGCTGAAGAACAAATATATGAAAACACAAACATAGATAAGGGTTTAAGGGTTTGTAGGAAATCTACTGAAATTGTGGTACTGCATTTATGATGGAGAGAAATGATAACAACTTTGTAAGTCCCAGTATAATGCTTGGGCTTTCCCGAAGCTGATGGGAAGTTGTTGACATAACCCCCTGAAGAAATGACATGATCACTGATGCACTTTAGCAAGTTTCATTAATGGCAAAAGGAGAAATAAACTAGAAATATAGGCCAATGGAGGCAGGAAGAACATTCAGGAGACAAGGTTGAACTTTTGAACCCCCCCAGAAAAGCAAGATTGGGGAACAAAGTGGGAAGAAAAACTAAAATTTATTTTTCTGTACTAAAATTGGTATATATTTAATTATATACAATTTATTAGGGAGAGGGAATTCTTTCATTCAACAAACATATATAGGGATCTACTAGATGTTTGGTCCTCTGCCAAAAAATAGAGACTATGAAGATGAATAAAAAGATATAAACAAACAGTTGCAGTGAAACCAAAGAAAATGCAAGACATAACTTGACAGAAGAGAGTCAAGAAGGGCCATGCAGAGGATGGTCTGGGTCATGATGGATGAGCCATAGTGTGAGGAAGGGAGGTTGGTAAGGAAATTCCAAGCAGAGAAGCAGAATTTAGGAGGGCACTCAGACGTGAACAGAACTTGTATTCCAGGGTCACAGGTGGTCTAGAGTATAAGTCAAGGAAGAGAAGCCAGGTTGGGAAGAACCTTGTTTTTATTTTATGGAAAAACATTAATCAGAGACATGGTATGGGCCTGATCGTTCCGGCAGAAGCACAGAGGATGGATTACAAGAATACTGTGTGGGAGATCTATTAGTTTCCCAGTAGTGCCATAACAAATTACCATCAGCTTTATCACTTCAGAAAATGAATCAAGGTGTCAGTGGGCCCACATTCCCTCTGAAGTCTCTAGGACAGGGTCCTTCCCTGCTTCTTTCAGAGTCTAGTGGCTCCTGGCATTTCTTTGCTCATGGCAGCCTCACTCCCATCTCTGCCTCCATTTCACATGGACTTCTTCCTTGTTTGTATCTCTATGTGTCTTTTTTCTGTCTCTTATTGGACACTTTCACCCCAATCCAGTAGTATGAGCTCATGTCAATTCTTACTTTTGTACATTTTCCAAAACCCTATTTCCAAATAAAGGCAAATCCTGAGGTTCCAAGTGAACATGCATTCATGTAAAACAGTATTCAAACTACGACCAGAGGCCATTGCAATAACACAGGCAGGGGAGTGGAGGGTGTGAGACAAAACCCAGCAGGAAGGAGGTCACAGTGGCAGGAAGTCATGGTTGCAGGTGTGAAAGAAGAAGCAGTGTTAGGAACTGAGGACAACTCTAATATTTGTGGCTGGGGAAGCCAGGCAGATTTCAGTATCAGCTGAGATAAGAACTATGTGAGTAAGAACAGATTTGAAACTCGGGTTCTGAAGTGTGGAGGACGTAGATAAGTTTCATACAAAGTAAAGCACTTTGAGTGAGGATATCCTCAAGGGAAATGAAAAAGTTTTAAAATGACTTAGATGGCTGCGTAGGTTGTAATACCATTAACTGATTAGAAAAACAATAGAGTAATATTTTTGTTTTAAGAAAACAAGATCAGTTTTAAAAATCTCAGGTTTGAAGGGTATATGATATATGTAAGGGAAGAAGTAGAGCATGAAGTAGGAACCATGCCTTCGGTGCCCTGGAGAAGGACCGACAGTGTTTGGCGGTTTCACAGCAGAAGGCACACATCTCATAGGAGACGAAGACATGTGGAAGTGTACAAAAAGAGAATAGTGCCAGAGGAGGGAAGAAAGGAATTCCCATAAGGGAAGGTAAGTAGTGTTAAAAACTTCAGCAAGGATGAAAACTGGGAATAAGCTCATGGCATTGTTAGAGATCATTGTTTGCCTTTGACCAAGTATCTGAATTGTAGCATCGGTGCCTATGAGGTAAATAAAGACTTAGGAAGCTGAGACACACAATACTGTCAGTGAGAAAACCAAGTTGTTAAATGACTTGGATGGCAAGCTCCCGAATAAAAATCAAGTTAAGGATATGTGCAAAGAGAAGACTAGCAATATACACATCAACTATTAAAAATACTAACATTTATTGCTTATTTACTAATGCAACTTATTATGTATCTTATATGTACTTGCATTAATTTTCACAGCAATCCCCTGAAGGTGCGGTTGTATATTTTGCCCCCAAAGAAATGAAGGCACAAAGAGGTAAAGTTACTTGGCTAATGTGGCACACCTGATGTGTGATGAACCTAGCATTTAAACCTTGAGTCTAACTCTGGTGGCTACTCATTTAAGCTAATAATATACCACTTTCTATCATCTCAGCATTTTTCCCTGTGTGGTTGGATTGAGTGGGTTTTATTTCTTTTCTTACAACTTTTAAGAATTTCCCCAACATTTCTAAATTCATTTTATAATTTGAAAGACTTAAGTAATATATTTTTAAAGAAAGCGGAGCTAATGAGCATACATCTTTCAAAGATATAAAGAGAAGAGAAGATTGTACTAATTTGATGACTGAATGACATTAAAGAACTTTTTTTTCCACTTTTGTCATTAGGATGACTTACACCAGTTTGAAGGCTAAGACTCAGTGGAGAAAGAGAAATCAAAGATACATGAAAGAAAAGGTAAGAGAGGAGGAAGGATGTAGAAGAAGCAGAAGATGGGTTTCTAAATTTGACTAATAGGGTTCCTGTAGGGGAAATGTGAAAGACTATTCTAGACTAGTGGGAGAGTGCAGAGCAGCGCTGAGGTATGGAACAGCCAGCTGTGTCCATGGATTACAAGTCGTCTAGATCACAGGTATGAGGGAGAACACTAAAAATGAGGAATAGTCTTGAAGAGATAGGATAGCATCAAAGGAAAGGAACTGAGTGAAGTTAGTCCAAGATATAAATTTTGAGGTAGAGGAGGCAGAAGTTAAGAAAATCTATGATATGCATGTCTATTTTTTTTAGTAGATAAAGTAAGTTGTAAGATCTCTTTTTTTTTTAAGATTTTATTTATTTATTTTTAGAGAGGGAAGGGAGGGAGAGAGAGAGAGAGAGAGAGAAACATCAATGTGTGGTTGCTAGGGGTTATGGCCTGCAACCCAGGCATGTACCCTGGCTGGGAATCGAACCTGGGACACTTTGGTTCCCAGCCCGCACTCAATCCACTGAGCTACACCAGCCAGGGCTTAAGATCTCTTGATAAAATTGAGTAGGCAATGGTTTTGTTGAAGGTAAATAAGTATAAAATTTGGAAAAGCTTCAGATTTAATGGACAGCAAGATGCTAGGTGATGGATGAATGTGAATAGTTGAGTAAAAAGAGCATCTGTTTCTACCACTTTAATAGTGATCTGTACACTTACCAGTGAGCTCTCACAAAGTAGGAAGTCTGTCTCTTTCACTCCTGTGGCCCAGTGCTTAAACCACAATCTAGAACCAGATAATTGTCATTAATTATAAAATCTTGGGAGGGAGTTTCTCCACCGTTATCAAATTATGGATTAAATGAGGCACAGAAATGGCAATGACTTTGACTTCACTGGTCCTTGTTTCCACTTGCTAAATAGAACTTTCCATAGGGTCAGCGTTCACATTGTGGGAGTCAGAAAGCACACCGAGAAACTAGCACGACGCCCTCAAAAGACTCATCACACACGTATGAGGTAGAATCCATTTTTCCCATGTTCTCACGGTGGAAGCCTGAGCTAGCATTCTTGGTCCTTTGACAACCAAATATATCTGTCAGTCTATCAGACTGTCTGATCTAATTTGATTTTCAAGTTCACTTTCACTATGTGCTACAAAATCAGCTTCAAGGAAATTGATCCCACTGCTACCAGCATTTCTCAAAATTGTTGAGAGGGCCAAAATAATGTTTTGATGGCAAGGCTGGTTTGACATGAAGTCAAAACAGATGACTTAAAATATTTCTACTGATTTCTCCACAAAATGTTCAACTAATTCAACTGACTACGGCAGGAATTGTGTGTGTGAATGGTGTGTGATATCAGTCTAAGAGTTTCGTTGTCCTTTGCTTTAACCAAATTGGTAAAACTGATGATCAAATCACTGTTGGGTGTTTTGCAAAGCAAGGCTAAGTGGGGAAATGAAATTCTGTGACTCCTGGACCATGTAGCTTAGTTTTTTAAAAATCAATTGTGAGTTTAATAACTACCTAAATTTTGTAGGACTGTTTTCTGAGCAATGTGAAATGCTACACATAGATTAAGTTTCCTTTTTTTATTAGCAGATGGCCATAAAACTCTTCTTTAATAAAGATTTATTAAATTTGACTTATTTGAATTTGTAGCCAGGGTCTCGATCCTAAACTGTAAGCCTTCAAGGAAAATGCTGAAAAATACATTCCAATTAAACTTGCCACTTTAAGAATTCATCAGATCATGCCTCCAGGAATGCATGCTTCTGGTTCTCATGAGGTCTCACGATAGCAAGAGCTTCTTAAGCATGCCATCTCTCTATATCAGCCACACATGACTTAGTCTTCAGAAAACAATTAACTTTACAAAGTTACAATGTCCCTTAGAAAAAAAAGATAAATGTTTTCCATAACAAGGTACAGAGGCCTTGAGCATTGATTTATGTTTTTTCCCCTCATAAAGCTGGAGGTGGGTGGGGCTGAGGATGGAGGGTTTTACTTTGGGAATATACCCAATTCCCATGTGTCACATTTGTTTCCTTTTTGATCTGAATTTCTGTGACCAGTCATAAAAGGTACAGTCAACCTTTCCTAAAAAACTAATCCTAGGACATTTATTATACCTAGCTCTTTAAATTATGAAAATGACAAGTACATAAAATTTTCTATGCTTCTGTGATTTACTTAGCAAGCATCCTGAGCTAAGTAGGAGCTGAATGAGTTCTACTGCTGTGTTATACACATCAAAATTTAATTAAGTTTCTGACCTAATGTCCCCCTTGTTTCATCGATTAGGGAAGTCATGGGTAGACCACGTCATTCTCAGAAGAACTGGGCAGTTGTGAAATCCGAGCAGTCTCTCTCTATTTTTTGCCCAATGTTCTTTTCAAGTCTCATTAGATTATCATGAGTGTTACAGCTGTGCTAATCTTTTTGTAAGAAATGAACTTTTAAAATTGCACATTTTTAAATTGACTTTTAGAGTTACCATGGCAGCCTCATTATAATGCACAGAGATGAACATTATCACAGCTAAGCCTGATCTATCCAGGGTTGTCAGGAAATGAGAATTCCACATAAAGTGCATTCTCCAAAAGGGCTCACAAAACATGCCAGATCAAGTGCCCAGCCTTTTAGTGTAACAATTTAAATGAAAAGCTTTCTCATACACTGCACACATCTCTAGTTCTTTAAATGTATTCTTGATGACTCAGGTTCTCTGTTAGCAATAGCTTATTGTACTTAGATCTACACACAGTACTGTTTGATTTTTTAGTCTCCTTTTTCATCTCAGTTTGCCAGGGGCATTAAGATTCATTTCAGACCCTGAGAGAGGAAGTTTTTGCCACCACCTCCCAGCAAGGATGGATTTATATAGATGTCACCTAGACAGTCCAGGTCCTCTGCTGGAGACTTGGCAAGCAGCAATGGCAGATCTGTATTAACACACGATGTGCTGGTTTCTGAACCCTCTTTCCAGAGGCAGAATTGGTGTTGTCCTGGCTTCCCAGCTCTCATAGTCCAAGATAGTCACTCCTTCCCCACCCCTTAGATTTACAATGTTCTGATGGCTATTTCTTAACTTTCCTGCACTGAGTAACATAAGTCGTCCCTTAAAGAGTTTAGAAATTCCTTAGAAATTTCTAGGGCTCTCAACAAGGGGTTAAGACACACCATTCTTTGTGGAACCTAAGGACACAGATCCTACTTAACCCCCGCAGGCTTAAGTTTTCGTCTCTAAAATGAAGATGAAATGCAATTATATATTTGGAATACACAGTACTGTCTCTAATGCAAAGGAAGAATTCAATCAGTGAAAATAATTACATGTATGTGACATGATAGCAGATGTAAATAAAAAACTGATAAAAATTTATTGTAAACACAATTATTTTAGTATCTTAAAGTCTCATTTTGGTTTAAGTATTAAGCTGTCACGAAGTGGTTACTTAGCTGTCCATGTGGTATATTATTTTGTGTTTGTTGTTACCACATGAAGTCTGTAGTAATAAATTAGCACAGTCCATTATATAAATAAACTTGTACAGAAATTAGAGATGACAGGTATCTAACATAATGCATTGAGCACAAATTGTGGGAGCACCTTGGTAGAAAGCTGTGACTTTGGCTTCGATTCTTGCCTGCATCACCAGCACAGCTCTCGAACCACGGGGATCGACTCCTCCTACCCAGCTTTCTTCTTATCTCCTTCCTAAATCAAAAAAGTTTCATACATTGTAAGCACATAATAAAGTTATTGTCATGCTTTCAATTTGTAGATGTAATTATATTTAAAATAAAATTCTTACTTTTGTGTATTAGGTGCAACTGTAAAATAAAATCTGAGTTCACCACCAGCTGAATATATGAGTCATCTGGAAGAATGATATATAAAATCATAAAACAAGGTTCTCTATTGCCAAAGCAGAGGATGATCGATCATATTACAAGTTGTGAAAAGAATGCTTTCCTCCCCTGCTCTTCCTTAAGTGTAGAAAAATAGCAAATACATGGAAGCAATTGGCATTTATCATCCACTGGCTAAGAAAATGGGCCTTTTTTACTCTCTCCTGCTTTTCTCTCTTCTTTCAAGCGTTGCCCCACTAGAACCTTCACGACAGATCATCCTATTGAAAATTGCAGCACTCCATTCACTCACAAACCTGCTCTTTATGGCATTCACCACTTCCAACCCGCTATATAACTTACTATTATTTTTATATTTATTGCCATATTTACACACAAGAATGTAAGATTCATAAAGGTAAACTTTCTTTTTTTTACACTGCTTATATCTCAAACACCTAAAGCAGTGAACTGATATTGAATAATATTTACCTAATATATGAAAAAAGTTTTACTATTACTCTTTAGAGCTTCTATTTAGAAAGAAAAACAACAACAAAATCATTGTATTATTTTGGGACTAAATTTGTAAAGTCATCAAAGATTAATAACTTTAATAGTAATTAAACCAAATTAGCAACATATATATATTGAAAGAAAACAAAGTGAGCCTGTTTTTATTTATTATTTTGAGCCCTTAATTTTTTTTGGCAACTGAAACTTCTGGTTTTAGTTGAATCCTACTCTTGGCCTTATTTGGACATTATGCAGTAACATTTTCTGCACACGTATCTTAACACAGCTATGAAGAACTTGGTTGTATATTTCACATTTTGATTAGATTTCCTCAAGGACATTTCTTCCATGCCTGTCCTGTTCAGAGAATTAACTTGGAGTGCTATAATTTTGTGGGCTATAAATACCCTTGGTAGCTGGCATTAGCCACACAATGGTTTATTATAAGGGATGAACCATTATGTGTTTCTAGGTAATTTCACAATGGTGGCCTAGATCAGTGTTTGTTCAACTTTAATGTATGTACACATTACCTGGGAATCTTCTAAAAATGTATATCAACAATGGATAGATCTCAAATAGATCTCTAGATTCGGAATTTCTAGTCAGCTCTCACAAGATGCTGATGCTACTATTTTTGCCAAAAACATATTTTGCATAAGGGTCTAGGTTAAACATTTTATTAGCATTAGCCCATTTTCTCCTGAGCTAAACTTAAATTTGATTTCTTAAAAAGCAACAAAGAGAGAAATTACACACATTTTCTCTTTAGTAAAAACTCAAGTCTCATAAAATTTTTATTCAATAATATTAATTATGGATTTCAAGGTTTTATACCATAGCATTTACTATAAAATAAGAGAGTATTAGTTCTTAGGAATGATCTATACGCAGGCGTAGGTTTTATTCTCTAATAAGGTTCAAATTCACGACTGTAATTGATCTTCACTGAAAGACAAGCAGGAAATGGCAGATTTGTTTTGATAGAGACCAAGACTTTTAAGCGTGTTGGCTTCACACTGCCTTTGAAACTGTGCTATGCAAACACAGGAGCCAGGAAATGAGCCCAGCCAAGAGATTCCACTATGTAAAGATGTCAGTGTCAGTTCTCTGCAATATCCAAATGTTCCTCTTTCAGAAGTGAATGAAGAAAGGCTTCTGTCACTTATAACTGAGTAAATCAAGAGCACTTTTTTCTTATGTAAATCTGTCACAGTCCTTTAATGAAATTCATCTTTCCTCCTAAAGGCCCCTGAAACTTAACAACTCTTATTCTAACTCAGTCTTGTTTTCTCTGAAATTGGGAAAGGACTAATAAAACTATATTTTTTTTCCTTTAAGAAAAATTAACTAGCTTAGAGAACGGAAGAAACTGGGTTTGCATATGGAGGGGATGGACTGATGTTGGTGTCCCAGGCACCTCACTGTTTCTTGTTTTGACTCAGAATTACAAAACAGTAATTTCTGAGTTCCCCACTGGTCACTGGGAGATTGGGTTCTGCCTGTCTGCTGACCAGGCATCCTCCTTGCTTGTCGTCACTTATAGTTCTCCTTTATGACTCAGTGAAACATTCATGTTTGGGCTGGGCAGTGTTTAATCCAACCTGATGCAATCTCACTGAAAACAGACTATCTTCTCCTTTTCTTAAAAATATTGCTAATATCATTGTGACTGGAGCAGTTAGGGAAATTCAAGGACAGAAATAAGAAAATTATGGCTTAATTTGGGATTGTAATATGACAGAGTGTGGGAGTTCTTATGGTCATACTACTATATTGAAACTGAAATATTTCCTTTTGAAATTGGATAAACTGAGCTTAAAGTTTGCATGACAGAAATTAGATGTAATTCTCCTTTCAAAAACCATCTGTTTTTCTGAAAGAAAGTTGGCAGATCACGTTGCAACTAAAACTGTAGATTATTTATGACAAAAAAAAATCAACCTTGGTAGTTAATGTAACACTTGAAAGCCGGGGTTCTTAATGTAGGACTTATGCCCAGACACTTCTGCAATTATTCAGACATTTGTATAATTTACTGGGAGCTGATACATTGACTTTCATCAGATTGTTAAATAGTTCTGTGATTTCTCCCAAAAAGGTAAAGAATCACTTTACTTGTGTCTATCAAAATTTAAAATGTTCATGGCTGTGGGCTAAACATCCCATTTTCAAGAATCTATCCTATACAGATATTCACCTGAGTGAACAAATTTCGTGTATGAGAATGTTTATTTCTCAATTGTTTGTAATAGAAAAAATTCAAGTATCCATCAATAGAAAATAATTTGAAATATTATTGCATATTTGTATTATGGAATACTCTACTGCCATTAAAACTAACGAAACTTACATGGGGAACTATCTAAGATGTATTGTTAACTTAAGAGCTTATATTTATTTAGTGATCAAATAAATATCTATGTTGTTTTTTGGAGGGGGGTTAATGTTTTATTTATTTACTTCTAGAGAGAAGGAAAGGGAGGGAGAATGAGAGAGAAATACCAATGTGTGACTGCCTCTTGCTCATCCCCTGCTGGGGACCTGGCCTGTTACCCAAGCACGTGCACTGACTGGGAATCAAACAGGCAAACCTTTGATTTGTAGGCCGGTGATCAATCCACTGAGCCACACCAGCCAGGGCAGCGTTTATGTTGTTTTTAGATACTTTGGTACCACCGATAAAAGTAGGGAAATATTGACCCTCCACTATTTTCATTTTATTTGATGTGATCAATATGTGTTTATACATAATATGTAGGTAACAATATAAGTGCTGGTGCTTGCTTGTAGGTGTATATTTGCATAAATATATGAAAAGGTTGGAAGGTTATAAATGAAGAAACAAGATTTCAATATCTGGGATTTGGAAAGGAGGAAATGAGAAGAGATTTTCAACTCTCCTCTTTAATTTGTTTGAATTTTAAGAACATATGTGGACTTTGTAATACTTAAATATTTTTAATTATTTACTTAAAACTCTGGTTGGTGGGGAACATATTGCTTTAAACTGAGTGAATAGTTAGTTGTTACAGTCTTCATATAGTAAGCAAAAACTCGTGGATTTTTAGATATTTATTTGTTTAATTTTTATTTTTGTAATTTTTATTCAATTTGTTGGGGTAACATTGGTTAATAGTATTTTATAAGTTTAAGGTATACAGTTCTATAGTATATCATCTATATATTGTATTGTGTGTTCACCACTCCAAGTTCTGTCTCCTTCCATCACCATTTAACTCCCCTCTCCTCTTTTACCTCCCCTACTTCCCTTTCCTCTGGTAATTACCATACTGTCGTCTGTGTCTATGAGGTTTTTTGTTTTAATTCCTTCACCTCTTCACCCACTCTCTCAACCCCCTCTGACAGCCATCAGTTTCTTCTCTGTATCTATGAGTCTATTTCTATTTTGTTTGTTAGTTTATTTTGTTCATTAGATTCCATATACAAGTGAAACCATATGGCATTTGTCTTTCTCTGACTGGCTTATTTCACTCAGCACAATACTCTCCAGGTCCATTTGTGCTGTCACAGAGGGTAAGATTTCCTCCTTTTCTCCTTTTTCTTGAGAGAGTTCTTGTTTCTTGAGATAAGAGGGAAAGCCATAGCAATGTGTAATGCTATGGCTTTCCCTCATAGAACTACTGTCACTCTGTCCCATAGATTTTGGGTTATTATATTCTCATTTGTATTTGTTTCAAAGTATCTTTTGATTTTTTCCTGATCTTATAGTTAACTCACTAGTTGTTTAGTAATATATTATTTAGACTTCATGTCTTTGTGTATTTTTAGGCTTTTTTTCTTGTGATTGATTTCTAGTTTCATCCCATTATAGTCAGAGAAGATGCTTGACATGATTTCAATGTTTTTAAAATTATCGATACTTGTTTTGTGTCCTAATATATGGTCTATCTTAGAAAATGTTTCACATGCATTTCAAAAGAATGTATATTCTGCTGCTTTAAGGTGAAATACTCTAGAGATATCAGTTAAGTTCATCTGATCTTATCCTTGTTGATTTTATGTCTGGAAGATATATCCATTGATGTCAATGGGATTTTAAAACCCTCTACTATGACTGTACTACTGCCATCTCTCCCTTTATGTCTATTAAGGTTTGCCTTATATAATTAGTTGCTCCTATGTTGGGTACATAAATGTTTATAAGAGTTATATCTTCTTGTTGGATTATTTCCTTTATCATTATGTAGTGTCTTTCTTCGTCTCCTCTTATAATGAATGTTTTAATGTCTATTTTGCCAGAAATAATTATTGATCCCCCAGCTCTTTTTTTATTTGGTTTTCATGAAATTTTCCCCCCCATCTCCTTAGTTTTAGCATGTATGTATC